CTTGTGGTCTCTTCCAACTCTATGATTCCATGATTCTATGATTCTATGTATTGTGTTGTGTGTGTGTGTATGCTGTCAAGCCACTTGTTGACTTATGGCACCCCCATGAATCTCACAGGGTTTTCTTAGGCAAGGAATCCACTGAGGTAGATTTTCTAGTTCCTTCCTCTGAAAGACAGCCTACTGTACCTGGTATTTGTTGGTAGTCTCCCATCCAAGTACCAACCAAGGCTGACCCTGCTTAGCTTCCAAGATCAGAAGGGATCAGATGCTTTTAGGGTATTTAGGTCCCTTTTGGGAACTATAATCCCCAAAATTTCAGAACTCTTTCTCTCTCTCTGTCTTCAAGTTGCCTATGGATTTATGGCGATTCCATGAATTTCAGTGGTTTTTCTTAGGCAAGGAATCCTCAGAGGTGTTTTTGCCAGTTTCTTCCTCTGAAATAGAGCCTACAGCACCTGGGATTCAATGGCAGACTCCCATCCAAGTACCAGCCAGGGCTGACCCTGCTTAGCTTCCAAGATTAGAGGACATATGGTGCCTTTAAGGTACATGCCTTCAAGTTGCTTCTTGTCTTATGCCAATCCCATTAATTTCACTGGGTTTTCTTGGGCAAGGAATACTCAAGAGGCAGTTTCACCAGTTCCTTTCTCTGAATTACAGCCTACTGTACCTAGGATTTGTTGGCGGTCTCCCCTCCAAGTACCAACCAGGGCTGACCCTGCTTGGCTGCAAGATCAGACAGGATCTGATACCTTGGAGAAAAAAGCTATACTAGTTTTTCACAGAGCTAGTGTCAGAGTAGACAGGGGAAAGCAAAGCAGATAGTGGAGGGTGAATGTGTAACAGTTTTCCAAGATTACCGGTAATTGCTAGCACCCAAATGGACTGCAAGCAGAAGAATAAACTGAGGCTGCTGCATCTCTAAACATGTCCAGCTTTAGCAAGCAAGACATGTCAGATGTTCTGCATTGATTTATTCCACCTGTAGCAGGAGGGGAGACATAAAAAGGTGTGTGTAAAATTAATCAGTGAAGCCAAGCCATGATGGCGTCTTGAGGACTAGTCTCCAAGGCCGCATCTGCACTGCAGAAATAATCCACTTTGGACACCGCTTTAACTGCCATGCTATGGAATTCTGGGTTTTGAGTTAGAATCATAGAATCATAGAGTTGGAAGAGACCACAAGGGCCATCCAGTCCAACCCCCTGCCATGCAGGAACTCCCACTCAAGAAGGCTGAATGCCTCACAAAACTACAGATCCTGGAATGCCATCGCATTGAGCCATGGCAGTTAAAAGTGGTGTCAAACTGGACTATTTCTGCGGTGTGGATGCAGCCTCAGTCATGCATTCGGAGGGAAGGATGTGAGACAGAGCAGATCCGAAGCTCCGCTGCTGGCTAATGCCAGCTCAGGTTATTTGTGGAACAAGCCCAGGGTTGCTCTTGACTGGGGCTGGCAAGGGATCCCTCCAAACAGAAGGAGGTCTTTGCTATTATTACCTGCTACCTGATGCTTTGGAAAAGTAAAAGCAACACCTGGAGATGCTAAAGATTGAACCTGGGTCCTTCTCAGCTCAAAACAAGGGATGTTCTGTATTAGTATAGTCCATTGTGGTGGAAATGCTATTATTATTATTATTATTATTATTATTATTATTATTATTATTATTATTATTTTATTAAATTTCTTACCCACCTCTTGCGATGGATCAAGACAGGAAACCGCAACAAATTAAAACTCACAACACGGTTAAAAGAGCATGCAAACCTGATATGTTTTAAAAGCCATCCACACTTTAAAACCCATAATTTAAAAATTGCCTGGATAAGCCTGCCGCATCCAGCTTTCCCCATCCCCAAAGGCCTCTAGGCGATTGCAATCCTCATCATCCCAAGCCAGCATGGCCAGGATGGCTGTGGATAATGGGGATTGCAGCTCAAAGTATCTGGAAAGCACCCGGTTGGGAGAGGTCTAATCTGCACTGCAGAAATAATGCAGGTTGACACCGCTTTAGCTGCCATGGCTCAATGCTATGCAATTTGGGGATTTGTAGTTTTTGTGAGATCTTTAGCCTTCCTTGCCAGAGAGCTCTGGTGCCACAACGAACTACAAATACAACAGCAAAGTGAGTACCTTCACACTGCTGTACCTTCACGCTCTGGTCCTAGTGATGGCTATGTTGCCATGAAAGAGGAAAGATTTGTGCTTAATAGAGTGCCTTTCAAGTATTTATAGTGTGCCATGCGCAGTGTGGTGTAGTGGTTTGAGCACTGGGCTATGACTCTGGAGATCAGGGTTCAAATCCTCACTTGGCCACAGAAACCCCCTGGGTGAGTCACACATTCCCAGACCTGGAAAACCCCCGAAATAGGTTCATCTTAGGGTTGCCATAAGCTGGGAATGACTTGAAGGCACACAACAACACTTAGTCTGTACTATCTCCTTCCTTACAGCCCTGTTGGGTAGGCTAGCGGTGAATAAAGCAGCTGGTGAATTAATGGCGAGAACTGGGCACTGAACTCTTGTTTGCACTTGCAACCCCTTAGACCCCTGGCTTCGCACCAGCCATGCTGAAAAGAAAAGAAAAAGAAAATTCCCAGGAAGAATGGACTTAGAATTCTAGAGAGGACATGGGGTGCATCTGAACTGGAGAAATAATGCAGTTTGACACCACTTTAACAGCCCTGGCTCCATGCCACAGAATCCTGGGAGTCGTAGTTTGATGAGACACCAGCACACTTTGGTGGAGAAAGTTGGACATATTGTGAAACTACAAATCCCAGGATTCCATAGGCTGGAGCTGCAGCACTTAAGGTGAAATCACACTGTGTTACTTATACAGTGTGTACAAGCACAATGTGACCTGAATCTTACTGGTTAGTCTTCAAACAGAGTAGACCCATTGAATCAATTGGTGAAGGGTGAGTCATAGAATAATACAATCCTAGAGTTGGAAGGGACACCCAAGGGCCATCTATTCCAACCCCCTGCCATGCAGGAACTCAACATCAAAGCAAGATTTCAGAGGAGGTTTGCCATGGCCTTCCTGAGGCTGAGAGAGTGTGACTTGTCCAAGGTCACCCAGTGGGTTTTCATGGCTGAGCTGGGAATCGAACCCTGGTCTCCAGATTTGTAGTCCAACACTCAAACCACTACGCGATGCTGGTTCCAGGAAAGGTTGCTTTGTGCTAAATTACTAAGTTAGTCCTAATTACAAAGTTACTTTGTTAATAATCATTGTTTTTAGCTGCTTCATGTTTTAATATTTATTACAGGTTGTGTCTCCCTTATCTAGAATTCCAAAATCCAAAATACCCCCAAATCCAAACTGTCCATATGAGTGGCTGAGGTAGTGACACTTTTGGCTTCTGACGATTCAACGTACACAAACTGTGTTTCATACACCATATTATTAAAATATTAAGCATAAAATTACCTTCAGGATATGTGTATAAGATGTATATGATGCATAAATGAATTTTGTGCTTTTAGACTGGGGTCCCATCTCCCAGATATCTCATTACGCATATGCAGATATTCCAAAATCCCCCAAAAATCTGAAATCCAAAACACTTCTGGTTCCAAGCATTTTGGATAAGAGAGACTCAACCTGCATAGGCTCCTTTGTGTTCCTCAGATGGGGAACGACAGGAAATATTTTATAATGAATTAATTAATCAACCAGTCCAATTAATTATGATTCAGTGGCTTTGGCTCCAGTTGCAACAGAATGCAGGCTTTTGGCTCCAACCAATGCTCCTGATGGCAGGTTTCTGCAATTTTCTAGAGCAGTCCAATGAAGATGTTGACTCTGCAGCCAATGCTTTCTTGCCTGAGCTAGATGTCTGAGGTCCATCTATAGATCAAACATATCCAGGGCTTGGGATGGTTACTTTTGGGGGGCAGCAACCAGTGGTGTCTGGCAGCTTGTGTGTTAGTGGGGTGCTGAATGCAGTCCAGGATCCAAAATGCACTGCGGAAATAATCCAGTTTGAGACCACCTTAACTACCCTGGCTCAATGCTAGGGAAATTCTGGGAACTGTGAAATCAAAGGCTTTCATGGACGGCATCCATTTTTTTTGTGTGTGGGTTTTTCGGGCTGTGTGGCCATGTTCTAGAAGAGTTTCTTTCTGATGTTTCGCCAGCATCTGTGGCTGGCATCTTCAGAGAATGCTGGCATGGAAGAGAGTGGGTCTGTATTCTCTGAAGATGCCAGCTACAGGTGCTGGCAAAATGCCAGAAAGAAACTCTTCTAAAACATGGCTACACAGCCCGAAAAACCCACAAAAAACTAATTCTGAGAACTGTCATTTTGTGGGACATTGAGCCTTCTCTGCAGAGAGCTCTGGGGCTACAATAAACTACAATTCCCAGGATTCCCTAGCACTGAGCCAGGGCAGTTAAAGCAGTCTCAAACTGGATTTTTTTCTTTCTTTCTGCAGTGTGTTTTGGACCCAGGTTACAAAGCAACCCTTAAAGGAGCTGTCCATGGTGGCAAATCTATTTCGGGGACAGAAGTTCAGCACTTGGACAGCTCCTTGAGATGAAACCCTGGAGTGGCTTCACCACACCATAGTGTGCATCTTCACTGTAGAAATAAGGCAGTTTGACACCACTTGAACTGCTATGGCTCCATCCTACTAAACCAGGGACAGGCAACCTTTTTGAGACCTGGGCCGGTCTC